ACAAATGGGATTGCATAAAGTTGCAGAGCTTCTGCAGGGCAAATGACATAGCTAGCAAGATCAATAGAAAGCCCACAGATTGGGAGAAGATCTTTCTTTTTTTTTTGTCGGTCGTGGGACCTAAATTCTAGGCCTGGGTGATGTCCCTCAACTCTTCAGCTCCAGGCTAGCCCTCTACTAATTGAGCCACAGCGCCACTTCAGGATTTTTCTGCTTATGTGGTGCTGAGGAATGGAGCCCAGGGCCTCCTGCATGCAAGGCAATCTTTACCACTGAGCCACTTTCCGAAGCAGCCTTTACTACTCATTCTTAACATTAAATTTTTGTTCTACTGTAAAAAAGAATCCTTTTTTGACTCCTAAATCAGAGCATATCATGCTCATTAATGAAGTCAGCAAAGAAATGTGATTAGTTCTCAAATATCTTTTCATGCTTTTATTTATGGTCTCTACATGACTATGGAAATCTTTAATATCATTAGTTGAAAACTAGAAGCAATTTCTCATCATTAGAAGTTGAGCTTGAAGTTTGTAAACTAATGGAAGAGGGAAAAGAAACTACTGTGTGATTATCTTCATAAGGCCCCTTGTATTTACCATATTAAATTAGTTACTGAGCAAAACTTTTTGAATAAATAAAATAACCAAATTCTCAATGAAAATTTTTGTTTGTTTTTACTAGTCCTACAGTAAGTATCCTGAAATAAGTCTTTTCTTCTATTTTAATTCATAAAATATTGGAATAAAAGTCTAGGTTTTCATAAAATAGCATGTTTAATTGATTTATCAAAAGACTATGCCATCCTTATTTATAAAATATATTGATTTTGACTCATATTTTTACAGATACTCAGTGCCAAGCCTTCTATCTCTTAGAATCAGCAGCTGCCCCCATCTTAAAAAAACTTGTGTCCCTTTGTCCTTTTCCTGCTGCTAATTGGAAATTTGCCACTGTTCTTTTTGACCAAACAAGGTTCTTCTTAAAAGAACAAGAAAAAGTGATAAGTGATAACATCCCTCAAGGTGAGTACAAATCAAATTTGGAGTTCTTAAAAAAATATAAGTGCATGGATTATTGTATCAAATATAAAAATTTAAAATAAACTATGCATAAATAACATGTGGAGGAACACTTAGCTGTAATTTAGCTTACAATACCCATTCCCAGAGACTGGAAGACCAATTAAGTAAGGAAAAAAGATGGCCATCTGGCATTGCTTCTCAGTAAAGATTCTAATTGGCATGTATTAATTGATAAAGAGAAACTATTATTGTTAACATCTGAGCCAGCTGGTCTCCTTCGAATTCAAACCTGGTGCTGGAAAAAAATAAAAATAAGCAGGGTTTAGGCATTTGCCTAACAGTCATTAATTATTATTTTCATTGCTGACCTTAACATTCTGAACTGGAATAGGAGAGATTGGAAAAAGATACTAAAACAAAGCAAACAAGGACATTTTCCTTCCCTCTCTTTTACATAGGAGACCCCTTTCCCTCTTCTCTGACCATGAATTAATACTTTTCTTAGACTTCTTTCTGTTTCCACAGTAGTATACATTTCAGGGGTTTGGATTACCTATAGTCCAGGTCAAGAAATGCTAAGAGGGAGAAAAGTAGGAAACTCAGGAGTTATTTGATGGCACTCTAAAATCTCATCTCATTCCCAAGCCAATCTACTATTATTTTTGAGTCATCAGATGTTGTCCCATGTATTCTATCTTGTGTTTATCATTGTATTCAGTGGAAGAAATAAGGTATAGTGTGTCCCTACTACTTATTACCTTAAACTTACTTGATTTCTTTTAAAAGTCAGTTTTCTAAATTCATTAAACTTTGGTCAGACATAGTGGTTCTGAACCATTACTCTGAAGGCATGGTTCAGGAGGATCATGACCTGAGCCAGACCCAGGATAAGAAAGCAAGAGTCTGTCTGGAAAAATAAGTAAAGCAGAAAAGGAATGGGAGTGTGTATCAAGTAGTAAAGGCAAGCTAGCAAGCATGAAGCTCTAAGTACTACCAAAAATTAAATTAATACATTAAATTTAGATGTGTTACACATTTATTTTTATCAGTCATGGGTCTTAAACTCTGGGTCTGAGCACTCTCAGCGCTTCACCTTCAAGGCTAGCGCTCTACTATTTGAGCTACAACACTGTTTTCTGGCCATTTATTGGAGATAAGAATTTCATGGACTTTCCTGCATGGGCTGGCTTTGAACTTCGATCCTCAGATCTCAGCTTCCTGAGTAGCTAGGATTACAGCGTGAGCCACCAGTGCCCAGCTTAGATGTGTTACATATTTTTAAAAGAGAGTCCAGGGATACCAAGGCAGCTTAAAAAAAGAATTAAACACAACATAAAAGACTGTAAGCAAATCAGGTAAGATAAATAGATAAATAGGTATATTTTCAAATAGAGTACCCAATAATTTTTTGGGGGTGGGAAACATGTTAGATTCCAAATCCTTTAGGTCATATTGATATTACTGAGGTAAATTCATTATATGATAAGAGAGTTTTTTGGGTTTTTTTTTTTGGGTCTGGTCGTGGGGCCTGAACTCTGGGCCTAGGCGCTGTCCCTCAGCTCTTCAGCTCAAGGCTAGCGCTCTACCACTTGAGCCACAGTGCCACTTCCGGCTTTTTTCTTTTTGCTTATGTGGTGCTGGGGAATCGAACCCAGGGCCTCATGCATGCAAGGCAAGCACTCTACCACTGAGCCACCTTCCCAGCCCTGATAAGAGAGTTTTAACTCATGGTTTACCTCTTAAAATATCAGCGATCCACAGGAAGAGTATAGCAGCATAAACACTAATTAAAGAATCAATATCTACACTTTGGAGAGCTGGCATTGTGGTAATGATTATGCTAGATAGAAAGGAATACAGTAATTGTCCACACAGTAATGTTTATGAAAGATGATAAGATTTCCACAGAAAAATATTTGCTTTCCTTTTTTATTATTAATTTATTGTTATTATAGAGGTGATGTACAGAGAGATTAAAATTAACTGAGTCATGTAATGAGTACATTTTCTTTTCTACATTCCCTCATTTTCTCCCAGTCCCTCCTTCCATCCCCACCCATGTGTTGTACAGTTCACTTTCATCAGTGTCCAGTGAGTGGCACTTTTTCCTCCAGTTCTATACCCTCCTCCCGACTCTCCTGAAGATGTTCACTTGAATGTACCATACATAAGGAAGAACACACATAAAGAAGACAGAATCATCAAAAAATTAAAAATTAAAAACAGGTCTCGTTTCCATATCTTGGGAATTCATTTTGATATGCATATTATTTTATGTAAATAGGAAGAGGCACTTGGGCATTGTGCCTTTGTGTTTCTAAGAGTATTCTCTTTTGGTCTCATTGTGTGTGAATATCTAGAATCCTGCATAATTTATCATAGCCCAGTGTATTTTAGATCTAATTTCTGCATATCAGGGAGAATATGTGCTGTTTGCCTCTCTGAGCTTAGTTAACATGATTTGTTCTAGTTCTGTCAATTTCTCTACAAATGACAGTACTTTATTCTTTGTAATTGCTGTATATAGGCACCATATTTTTTTGATCTACTCATCTATTGTGGGGCATCTGGGCTATTTCCATACCTTGGCTATTGTGAATAATGTGGCAGTGAACATGGATGTGCAGGTGTCTTTATCATATGATAGCTTATGATGTTCAGGGTAAATGTTCAGGAGTGGTATGGCTGGGCCATAGGGAAAGTCTGTGTTCCAGATTGCTGTCTAGAATAGTTGTACTAGTTTATATTCCCACCAAGTGTGCAGTAGGGTTTCTTTATCCCTACGTTCCCCCTCCCCCAACATTTGTTGTTTGAATTCACAATGTTGGCCAATCTAACTGGGGTGAGATGGAATCTCAAGAGTTGTTTTAATTTGCATTTCCTTTTTAGCCAGGGATGATAAGCATTTCTTCATGCAATTCTTACTTCTTCTGAGGAGGCTCTTCTTAGCTCCCTTACCCTTTTAGTGATTAGTTCATTAGGTTTGGGAGGAGTTAATTTCTTGAGCTCCTTATATATATATTGGATATTAGGCCTCTGTCTGATAGATTGCTCGTAAAGATCTTCTCCCAGTCTGTTTGTAGTTGTTCTAGTTTAGTAACTTTGTCCTTAGCTGTGCAGAAGATTTTTACTTTTTTGTAGTCCCACTTGTCAAGTCTCTTTTGTTTGTCATGGAAGTTTTTTGTTTCACCATAAATTGTGAATGACAGCTTGACTGGGTATATCAGTTTAGGTTGGCAGTTGTTGATTTTCAGTACTTGAATTATACCATTCCAGGCTCTCCTTGCATTGAGCATTTGTGTGGAGAGATCTTCAGTGAGTCTGATCTTTCCATTTTAATATAGCTCCTTGTTTGATTTTGATGCATTTAAAATTAATTCCTTGTTTCTTAAGTCCAGAGTTTCCACTATGATGTGTCTAGAAGTATTTCTTCTTGGATCTGGCCTACTAGATGTCCTGTATGCTTCTGTGAGGTAGATGAGATTTTCTTTTAAGATTGGGGAAGTTTTCTGTTATTATTTTGTTGAATAAGTTTTCAATGCTTTTAGTTTTAAATTCTTCCTCCTCATCTATCCCAACTACACATAAATTTGATCTCTTGGTTGAATCTGCCAATTCTTGGATTTCCTTTTGGTATGTTCTGAGTGTTTTTTTCAATGCCTTTGATTTTTTTATTCTAATTCTTCTATTTCATCTTCAACTCCTGATACCCTATTTTCTATTTCATTTATTCCATTAGTTATGCTTTCAACTGTTTTGCAATAGGGAAATTGAACCTTTTATGCTTCCAAGTTCTTTGTTGAAGTAAGTTCTCAAGGTATTAATTTTGTCTTTTAATGAGAAGTATAGAGTTTCTATTTTTCTCTCCATATCTTTTTGAGTGACCTGTATATTCTTTGTCATTTCCTCCTTGCATTCTTCTATTTGTTTTTGGATATCCTCTTTTATTTATTTGGCCAATTCTCTCATCATTACCTTAATAGTTCTTTTGACCTTCATCTCTTCATCACTATCACTAGGGTCCTTACCTGGATTGTCATTGGGTTTTGGATTTGATTTGTTGTCTTGATTGTTCATGAATTTTGTAATCTTCCTTTGTGATTTACATATTAGGGTTCAGAGATCATCAGGGGTTCATGTCAGGGTGAAGTGTGGTGGTGAAGTATGATTCACTGGATGGATCTCTGCCAGACTGTGTTTGGCAACCTTCAGCGCTAGGTGGTGCATACTGTAATGTATCTAGTCTGTTGTTAGGGTTTTGTGGTATGCAGAGTTGTCTGGTATTCTTGCCTAGGTTTAGGCCCAGTGTCAGGTTCCTGTTATGTGGCACTCAGCAGTCTATTGTCCTGGCCTGGTTCTGCATCTGGGGTAGGCCGATTCATGCTAGTCATAGTGGTGAGGTCATCTGGCCAGAGTTCTGGACTAGCATCTAATTCCAGAGGGGCCAGGAGCAGTGGTCCAACACCTGGACCTTTTTTGAATCTGGGAGGGTGGGGGGAAGGTGGGTTCCCACTGTGCTTTAACAAGGATAAATGTCCCCACCTAAGTCCTAAATCGGGCTAGGTGTGGTACTTGGAAGGGCCGGCTCTCACAGAGCAGTGCAGGAGATTGATCCCCCCTCAAATCTCAGACTGGCACCCTCTCTAGTCCAGGACTGGTGTCTACTTCCCACTGGTGAGGGGCTGCATCCAGGTCTCTGGGCCAAGCAAAAGTCTTGGTGGAGGCAGGACAGGAAAATTGTCCCTACTATATAGTCCCAGACTGGCCCAGACTGGTGGTGGTTTGATTTTTTTTTTTTTTGGCCAGTTCTGAGGCTTGAACTCAGTGCCTAGGCATTGTCCCTGAGCTTCTTTTTGTTCAAGGCTAGCACTCTACACTTGAGCCACAGCTCCACTTCCGGCTTTTTCTGTGTATGTGGTACTGAGGCATTGAACCCAGGGCTTCATGCATGCTGGTCAAGCACTCTACCACTAAGCCACATTCCCAGCCTTGTTTTGCATTTGGAGACAAGGTCTCTATGTAGCGTACGCTGACCTTGAATTCAAGATCTTTCTATCTCCATCACCCAAGTGCTGGGATTACAGTGTGACAACTATACCTTGTTTACTTCCACCAAAAACTTTAAAGAAAACAAATGTAAATTCAGAGTATAGTTTTTGTATGTCTGGTACTAGAGATTGAACTCTGAGCCTCATGATTACTTGATAAGTACTCTGCTACTTGAGCTATACCCTAGAACTCTGAATACAGCTTTGAGTCCTATAATTCTCAAGTTTTAAATTAGATTAGGATGAATTGTTTCAAACACCTTTAAGCATCATTGAGCAGAGTGATAATTGTAATAAAATATGTGAGCATAAGTACTTATGAAGTACAATGGAGGAAAAGATAAGAACATGGATTTGGTTGTGCAGATGGAGTGCTTATTGCCTTAATCTTGAGCACTTTTAGTTGCTTCCATTGGTCCCCAAATTGAGCTAAAGTTAAATCTCTTATAACAAACCTAGAAGAAGCCAGACACCATTTCCCATTAGTTATCTAATTTGTACTCCATTTTCCAGGCAATTTTTATACTTCCAGCTCACCAAATAAAGGGTTTTTTTTACCTATGTCCACCCTTTCCAGGCTATGATTGACTTGTACTTCTTTTTTTTTTTGCCAGTCATGGGGGCCTGAACTCTGGGTCTGGGTGCTGTCCCTCAGCTCTTCAGCTCAAGGCTAACACTCTACCACTTCAGCCACAGTGCCACTTCCTGCTTTTTCTGCTTATGTGGTGCTGAGGAATCGAACCCAGGGCCTCATGCATGCAAGGCAAGCACTCTACCACTGAGCCACCTTCCCAGCCCCTTGACTTGTACTTCTAAGGGCTGATAGACTACCTGTTATTGCCATTCCCTTTCCTTCTCAATTCCCAGTCACTACTACATATGTCCCTTTGATCTTAATTGATTAGAAGAACAATTTGAAAAATGTTTTAGGAGAATGGTTTGCAAGCAAGTATTTAATAAGATCCCAATGTATTAAACAGAAAGTAGAGCTGCTCTGGTTCATTGGGGCAAATAGAATTCTGTCTTTTGGTTGTACTTTTATATGGAGAAGAGACCAGTCATCTTCAAAAAGCTATAGTGATCTGGATACTGGGGGCTTATGCCTGTAATCTTAGCTACTAAGGAGGCTAAGATCTGAGAACTGCAGTTTGAAACCAGCATGGGCAGGAAAGTCTATGAGACTTTCATCTCTAATTAATCATCAAAAAGCCAGAAGTGGAACTGTGACTCAAGTGGTAGAGTACCAGACTTGAGCAGAAAAGGATAAGGGACAGTGCCCAGGCCCTGAATTCAAGCCCCAGGACTGGCACAAAAATTATATATGTATATATGTACCTGTATGTATATGTAGATATGTGTATACATATAGAGTATATTTACATGTATGTATTTATACATATACATATGGAACTATATGAACACATTAGTTAGGCGTAATTGGCTTGTTTATAAAAATATTTCTTTTGTTCATATCTTTGAACAAATTATCCTAATGTCCTCCATGTTAGGATCCTCCACCTTTGTCTGACCCAACTGGCATTATGAATTTAATTTTCTTCTTGTTTTATAGCTAGGAAATCATTTATCTGTTTTTGCAACAATAATAGAAATAATTCAACATTCCTTGAAGCAACAAGAGGATGAATTGAAAGGCTAGTTGACTTGGTTCAAGTGCCAGACCCACCATTTATTTCCTAACTGACCAAGGATAGTTACTTAACCTAAGACAGTTTCCTTATCCATAAAATAAGGACAGTAAACCTCCCTAATAGGATGGTTGCTATGTATTCAACAAGATAACCAGCTTATATATATTCTGGCATATAATAAGCCTCCGGAAATAAATGCTAGATATTATTAAGCAGATTCTTATAGGTACTTTAAAGTTCTGATATGTTTTACAATATGTTTTTGTTTCTATAGGTACAAATTGCAAAAGAGAAATTATATACAAGCATGCTGCTGTCCTACACCTTCTGGTGACAATTAGAGATGTCCTTTTAACATGCAACTTGGACACAGCATTGGGTAGGTACAGGAAATTTTATTTCTATATTTCATCTGAAATAACTTCTGAAAAAGACACACCTATTAAGAAATTATATAAACTTCTTTTACTTCTACATACTGAACATATGCACATTTTGACATAATTATTAGTGGAATTCATTTGTTTCAATGCTGGAGATTGAACCTAGGGCTTCTTGCATGCTAGACAAATATGCTACCACTGAGCCATTCCTCCAGCATAAACTCTGTGTGTGTGTACATATTTGATTGTGATCATTAAAAGAAATTGTCCTTAACTATTTTAGGATTCTCTAATATGGTTCTGAATTATAGATTCTTAACAGCCTTACACAGGTTTGCTTGTATGGTCATTATCATGCTGTGTGTAAGATTTGCTTTAATGATGTTAAGTGAAATGAACCCCAAGATATGGACACTAGAGGTCTCTCTTTGTTGTTATTGTTTTAAATGTATTATGTGATTTTTTTTGTTTCCTTTGTATATTCTTTCCCCTGTGGCATATTCCCCTGTATCATTGTACTTGAATTTGGTACCCTGCATCTTGTATATACATTTATCTATTCTAGAAAGGGGAAGGGAAATAACAAAACGCTGAAACAAAGACCGGATTACCCATTAAAACAATGATTACCCATAGGATAGTATATTGAAAATGAACTTTACATCTTTGGGCAGGGAGTGAGTGTAGGGAGGAGTGTGGGAGGCCGGGGGGTCGAGGGAGGGAAGGGATAGTGGGACAACAACAAGAGAATGAGTAACAATCATGAACAAGTAATGCACTCATTGCCTTATGTAACTGTAACCCCTATGTACAGCATCTTTACAATAAAATAAAATTTAAAAAAAGATTTGCTTTAATATAAGATTTGCCATCTTACCATGTACATTTTAGGTCTTCATTGGATGTTTATAGCTTTAAGCATTTTCTAGATAAAATATAACTAAATTATAGATGTGGTGCTGTACACCATAATCCCAGATAATCAGGAGGCAGAGATCAAGTCAATTGTTGTTCAAAGCTAGCTATTTCAACTGGTAGCTGTACATGGGACCCAAATATCATCCCAGCTATGCAGGAAGCATAAATAGAAGCAATCCAAGTCAGCTTCAGGATTTTCTTTGAAGATCCTATCACAAAAATAACTAAAACAAAAAATGTTTGGAGGAATGGCTTATGTGGTAAAGTGCCTGCCTTACCAGGGCATGGGACTGAGCTCAACTCCCAGAACTACCTAGGGGGGAAAAATAGCTGAGTCCAGTGGCTCACTGTAATCCTAACTACTCAGAAGACCTCTGAGGATTGTGGTTCAAAACCAGCTCAGGTAGGAAAGTCTATGAAACTTTCATATTCAATTAACTACCAAGAAACCAGAAGTGGAGTTCTAGCTCAAGTAGTAGAGCATTAGTCTCAGGCAAAAAAGCTCAGGGACAGAATTCCAGCCCTAGTACTAGCACAAAAATAAAACAAAACAAAAACTATTGGGGTATATTGGAAATGTTCATTCCAAAATCATTAAAGTATTACAGCTTTAGCTTCCTTACTGCTGGATTTCTTAGGTTTGTTTAGTAATGACATACCTATGTGATCATGTTTTATAACTTAAAAGTTTCTAGAACCTACTTCCAACATAATTATTAATTTTTGCAGGGGAGGTCTGGTCGTGGGGCCTGAACTCTGGGCCTGGGCGCTGTCCCTCAGCTCTTCAGTCAAGGCTAGCGCTTAAGCCACAGTGCCACTTCCGGCTTTTTTCTTTTTGCTTATGTGGTGCTGAGGAATCGAACCCAGGGCCTCATGCATGCAAGGCAAGTGCTCTACCACTGAGCCACCTTCCTAGCCCAATTATTAATTTTTTTACATGGATTTAGTCATGTTCTCTTATCTATGACCTATATGTAAATATTATTGCCCTATTGTAAGGTTTTCATAAGCACTGAGCTGAAATAAGTCACAATTATACTCCCTCTATAGCACTGGAAACTAAGTCTAGATTTCTATATTCTGCTTTAAAATTATGCATTAATAAGCTAGCTGTTTGTAGAATCTATACTTTTAGAGAAGCTGAGAATTATAATGAAGACATCATACATTTTACTTATTCTAAGTATATTAACTAGGGCTATAGCTCCCATCCTTTGTGTGGGGATAGAGCCAATACAGACTATTCTAGTCTCAACACTCTTCTGGTTTAATCAAAGAAGAAAGAAAAACACCCTGTTGGGTTCTCTAAAGGTTGTTTTAATCTAGCTTTAATACCTGATCAGATATATAATCTGGCTAAATATAGTATGTTTAGTACTTGACAGAGAAATACTATTTATGGAATATTGCTTAAAGCTTTCATTTAAATATTTTACAGTTTGTTCTAGGATTGAATACCACTGAAAGATACATACTTGGACCAAATTATTTTTGTTCCTCAAAAAATGTATTTACCAAATCACACTTCAACATTTCTGTTTGGCTACCTTGATAGGTAGCATAAAAACAGCTGGGCACCAGTGGCTCACGCCTGTTATCTTAGCCACTCAGGAGGCTGAGATCGGAGGATCGTGGTTCAAAGTCAGCCCAGGCAGGAAAGTCTGTGAGACTCTTACCTCCAATTAACCACCAGAAAGTGGGAAGTGGCACTGTAGCTCAAGTGGTAGAATGCTAGCCTTGAGGTGAAGAGCTGAGGGACAGCACCCAGGCCCAGAGTTCAAGCCCTACAACTAACATCCCCCCTCCAAAACAACAACAACAACAACAATAGGCTTTTTAGAAAACTAATTTCTTAAGCTATAGATACAAAACCATAATAGATCCTCCAGTTTCCTGAAACATTTCCTGTACCATGATCCTACTGTTTTACATTTCTCACTGTAACTGAGATTACAGTCATGGTCCACCATGACCAGCTTCTTCCATTGAGATGAAATCTTTTTTTTTTTTCCTTGTCCATCATAGAGCTTGAACTTGGTGCCTGGGCACTTTCCCTGAGCTTTTTCACTCAAGGCTAAAGCTCTACCACTCTGAGTCATAGTACCACTTCTGGTTTTCTGGTGGTTAGAGACAAGAGTGTCATGGACTTTACTGCCTGGGCTGGCTATGAACCGTGATCCTCAGATCTCTGCCTCCTGAGTAGCTAGGATTACAGGCATGAACTACCAGCAACTGGCTGAGATGAAATCTTAACAAACTTTTATGCCTGGCTGGTCTAGAACCCGTCCTCCCATCTCTTAACCAGGAGGTTAAGATAGGACCAACTTAATAAACTTCTCAGTTTAGTTACTATAGTTCTTTCTTTTTGAGTTTCTTTCTTTCATTCTTTCTTTTTTTGCCAGTCCTGGGGTGAAATCAGGGCCTGGGCACTGCCCCTGAGCTTCTTTTGCTCAAGGATAGCACTCTACCACTTGAGCCACAGTTCTATTTCCAGCCTTTTCTGTATATGTGGTACTGAGGAATCAAACCCAGGGCTTCATTCATGCTTGGCAAGCACTCTACCACTAAGCCACATTTCCCAGCCCACTATTCAGTTTCTTAAAGATCAAAAAGACAGAATTTTTTGTCATTTTTCTTTAACAGGATATTTGACAAATGCAAAAGATGTCTACAAAAACATTTTAGGCTCCTACTTGGATGATATTTGGAAACAGATGAAGATTGTACAATTTATCAAAGATAAAAAGCCTGAAGCAAACCATAAGTTACAAGAATTGCAAAATCAAATCCTAATGTGGATGAAAAGTGAACAACAAATTACTGTTAAGTATTAAAACCAAGTAGATAAAAGTAATGAGTTTAATATGACTTGGATGTAACATGAATTTTTTCCATTTATCTTTGAAACTGTGAAATAGTCTATATTGTTTGGCCACTTGACAGTTTCTTCCAAAGTAAAGTAACATAACACTGAGAACTTTTTGTGGATTAACTTCCCCTTTTGTCAAAAGTTTTGTCTGAATCTGAACATGAGCACATATATACATGTATATGTGTGTGTTACATATATGTGTGTAAAAGATGCTATATATGACCATGTATAATAATAGAACTATAGTAATTTTATTTTTATATATCAAACAAGAATCTCACCTGACATGTTTATGTTTTGGTTTAATTGGAAATTATTTACTCACACTATATGAAGTTTATGAAAGTATCAATGAAGATTTAAAAATCTTTAAAAACTTATCAAGCAGAAAAACATTTCATTTAGTTTCACTAAATCTAGTAAATTTTATGTGGACTTTTTCTTTTGTTGTCCCAGTTCTACCTTTATCTTTATCTTCAACTTCATATTTCTTGAATGACTTTCTTAAGTCACTAAAATAAATTAGTGAGAAATTTTCAATTGAAACTCATTTTCTGTGCCTGCTCCAGAGAAAGAAACTGTAATGGTAAATAACGAAATAGAGCAGCATATCATTGCTTTTTCTACAACAAATTCATACTTTTCTGGGTTTAAATTTAACAAGAGCAAAATAGGCATCAGGACAAATTATGTATTGGTAGTCATATATGTGGGAATACTTGAGAAATGTTAATACCCTATCCCAAAAATACTTTTGTTATTGACGTTTAATATTGCCAGGGCTTATTCTTCTGTGTATTTTGAACTCAGGCCTGATGCTGTTCCAAAATCTTTTGCTTAAAGCTACTGTTCTGCCACTTTGAACCAGAGGTCATCACCAGAGCTCTGGTAGTCAAATGGAGATAAGAGTCTCGTGGACTTTCCTGCCCAAACTGGCTTGGAACCAGCATCCTCAGATCTCAGCCTCCTGAGTAGTTGGATTATAGGCGTGAGCTACTAGTGCTTGAAACACTGCTATTTTTTACAACACAAATATTTACTTAGTAATTTGTTATTTGTTTTTTGGTTGTTATTCTTTTTCTTTCATTCTTTTTTTTTTTTTT